TTTTATGCCCGTCGCCTTACTATGCTATCAACTGTGTGAATGTGTGTTGGTATGTTCCAAATGCACGCAGTTTTGTGCATGTGTAGATGAACAAGTTGTTCGCCTTTTAAGACTCTAATAAATTCCATAAATTTGAAATGAAATACGAAATGATGTGAAAATAAATAAGATAGTATGGAAATAATAACACATAGACACCGAAAAACGGAAGCAACGAACATGAAACTATGGTCATACAAAGTTTTTCACTTTTGCCATTCCCCGCGCTCTTTTTCGCAAAGATTTTGGCTTTTCGTTTTCCATCGAGTCGCTTGAGATGCATGTGAAAGATATTGCATGTTCCACTTTCATGAGCCACATGACTACAGCAAAGTTGAATAACAACAGCAAGAGGCGCAATTCTAATAAATCTAATATGAAGATGCACATGTAATCATACAACGCAACGAGCTGCTGTTCGACTTGCTTAAGAATCCACCGATGCCACAGATGAAAAAAAAAAAACATAGACAAAGACGAACTAAGCGCCCTGAAGAGGAAAACGTGAGATTTGAGATACAGCTAAAGCAAAACAGTGACTGATTTTCACTACATCGGTGGTTATGACACGAAAACAACCCGTGATAATAAAGCAACGCTGCCAAACTATACAATCTTATCTTTTTCGCCACATTAAATGAATTTCACATTTTATAACATTAGTTTCGAGTAAACAATTTGATTCATTATTTCTCTCTCTCTCTCTCTCTCTCTCTCTCTCTCTCTCTTGTGTATATTAATATTTCACTTTTTACTTTGTCTCATATCGTCATTTTTGTCTTTATTCCCCTTTTTTCTTCCCAATCAGCTAAATCAAAATCCCTTTGTCTCTGCCGGCGTCGTCGTCGTCATTGTCGTCTTTTGGTTTTGGCATCACTTTTTACTTGGCATCTCAGAATCTTTTGTGTCTAGTTATTTAGTCGTTATTTCCCTGTTATCAAATATTATAGTACACCATATGCCGAAAATATGTATAATTTCATTCCTTTTCTTTATGCATTTGCCAAGACATAAGAATATAAAGACATAGTCTGCCTTTTGCTTCCTATTTCTCTTTCATTTTCCATCTTTGGTTCGTTTTTGTTTGTGTTTTCCACTTTGCGAGCATCGCTTTTGATGAGATTCATATGATTTTCCCAATATTAAAGTACTAAAATTGTATATTAAAATTTCATGGCGTAAATACCCGCTGTGCCCGAGTTTGTGTGTGAGATAATTTCATAAAAGGACGTTGTCAATAGATTCGATATTATTTTGTTCAGCTCAAGAGTCAAATGGTTTCATTTTATGAATGGGTTCGTTTTTCATAATTGAAGGGTTTGACGATATTCTTTGGCGACAAACGAACAAATAAAAGCGGAAACATGCGCTATGCTTTCATATAAAATAACAGTTGAGCATTGTGCAATTTTATCTAAACTTTGTGATTACAATCCGTTTCCAAGAAACTATAAGAAATCGCCAAAAAGAAACGAAGAAAAAGACCATACTTTGAAATATTCTGAATGCACGCGACAAACGCGAAAAATTATTATGATTGCTTTTGCCCGCCAGAAATCGTCTTTCTCTTTCACATTCACATTTTATCCGTTGTCTTCAAATTGAATCGAGCCCGTTTTTTCTATATCGATCCGAAGAAAGTGGAGCGCATGCAGAGAGAAATAGCGATCGACGCTCCGATTCCAGCACCAACACAGCTTCACCAGATAAACGTAATTCGACCATATCGTGTTACGTAAAAATATGGGTATTTGCAGGGTCACGCACTACACAAAATATAAGGAGTATTTTCGTTATGATTTATGCATTTCATGTTTTGTACGAAATCTTAACAATCGCAAATAACTACCCATCCAGGCAGAGAGCGCAATGAAAAGACGATTTTTTTTACATTTGCGTTAACATATTCTGTGAAGGGGAAAAAACAACGAAATCTATGTGAACACTGACATATTTATAGTGAATTGCTGTTCTTTTAAAGAGGTGACTTGAAATTTAAGCTTTATTACATTGAAATTCGCGCATCACCATCTCTTTCATTGAGAAAAATCCGTTTCTAGTGTTTCCGTAATGACTTTTTCATCATTAGTGGAAAAAAATGGAGGAAACGTTCTGCATGTCGTCCGATTGCTCAAAAGTGATATAACCAAAAATATATGGAAAAAGAACAAACATAATGGGATGGATTTTATGAATTTTTTAGCTTTTCACATCGCAGAACTTCATCGAATTTCACCATGTTTTTTTTTTTATAGTAACACACCGTTTTTCGTTTTTTATTTGATTTTAGTGGCGTATAATGTTATCCGCTTCGAAAATTGATGTATTACGAATGGCGAAGAAAAAATCGGCTTAATTTTCCTGAATATAGTGAAAACGTGCCTGCAGTTCAGCCAAAATGACATTCATTTTCCGCTGAGCGATGTTCCTAAACGGCAGAATGTTACTCAATTTGATTAATGAACTTATGCGAAGAGTTCATAAGGCACCCTCATTAAATTCAGAAAATGGAAGAATTTGTCGCAGATTATATGCTTTTCTTATTCGTCGTCGTAGTCATCGTTATGAAACTCAATAGGCCCATATATGCATCAACGTATGATGACTGATATCATTTCATTTTGTCGGCTTTTGCAGTATTTTGTCGTTGACTTTTGAAAACACAAAAGAAAAATTGAAGCGCTCGAAACATTTGCAAATCCCACTTCAAACGAAACGATGCCTCTTCATTTGGCTGTGCAGCAATCTGATATTGTTTATACTTTGTGAAATGAAATACAGGGGTTTTAATCATAAAAAGATTCAGTTACTTGCCGAAAATTTAACGAAATTTGAATCTCGTAGCGAAATATACATCTTCGCCGTCTGTAAAACTTAAATCTTGTTTTTAAGCAACTGCAGAGATATTTAATTTCAGGAGTATGTGTCTGGTAAAACAGTTAGTCAACCGCTTGCATACATTTTCGCATATATGGTAACAGACGTGCAAATTTGGTGTAAAAAAGCAAGTATTTTTGCAGTATGCACACGCAGCAATGCCAGATTTTCATTAAAAACTTTCAATTTTACAAAGTTTTCATCCCCATTCCATTTAGCATTATTTATACATCCTAGTATACATCTGAAAAATTAAATATATTTTCGTAGCATAGTTGGTATTTTACGCATGACGTTTGGCTTTTTGACAAATATGAAGTATTCATTCAAAAATATATAGTAATAATGATACGTTTGATGTCACTCAGCAAATTCATGTTTGAATCCAATTTTACTTTACAATAATAATATTAATAAGTAATAATTGCACAAACACTGGGAAATAATACTAGGATAATGTTGTATGAACACCGTTATTCAATCGCGTATAAAGTGTTTCAACATTTTGCTATATTTTTCGTGTATCATTTAACACAGCGAGTGTTATCGTATCGGAATTAATCAATTGCTCATTTTAATTAAAAAGTTTCACCACAAAAAAAGAGATTTCCAATTTATGTCAGTCTTTGTAACGAAAAATATCGTTAATTTTTTTTCACGAAATTTGTGTAAAAAATATACATATTACCGTATTGTAAATAATTTTTATTCAATACCATGTGTTCATTTGACAAAAAAGTATCGACGAGATGGTGCGATATATATCGCCACTGTCAGGAATTGACAGCGCTTTGATGTGAGATATAATTTCATGCGAAACGACTCTATCGTCGTCATCATTTTTGGTATATTTTTACCTTATTTCTATAGAGACTCTTCAAAAACCTAGGCACTTCGTAGAAATAGGATCAAAAGTGATTTCAAAGTATTGGCAAAAATGACAGCCTTCCAAAAGAAATTAATATGTTTTGAAGTTGAAAATATAATTCATCACAATGGGGAACATAACGCGAACGTATGTTTTTTTTGTCAGGGTACGATAAGACTAAATTCTTTCAAGAGACTCGCACCAATATCAAACATAAAAATACATATGCTCACAAAATATAAATTTCGTTTGAGTGTAAAATAATTGACATATAAACATCAAGAAATTTAAATAAGTGAACATGTCGTCGACAGTTGAAACAACATTTCACACTTGAGTCGTCCCCTTTTTTCATGTGTGTTTTTGTTTGTATTTCGTATGTTCGTTTTGTCTATGTTTTCATTTATGAAACATATTACATTTAATACCGTCATATGCAAAGGTTAAGCTCACACGGAGTATGAAAACCATAGTGACATCGGATGCTAATGAAATGCCTTCATAAGCTATTTTCATGAATTGCATTTGACAGGTGTACATTGTAATAGCACACGTTTGAAATGCTACATGAAGAAATTCACACAAATATTCATGCGAACGATTCGATGTTATTTATTTATCATTTACGAGTCAAAGAAGTGAATATTTTGTTAAAATAAAGCACCATTGCTAACATATTTGTTTTTTTAAATGAAGTTTGGTTTTTGAAAATTGTTTTTGATAAAAATCCAAAAATGTATAAAGACCACATGTATGCTACAAGTTGATAAATCTGTCAACACTTTTTCATTAAACTATGTTGCAATAAAGTTGTTAGAGGATTTTTGTTAAGTTTGAAATCATTTCATTTTAACTTTTTTGACTTCTATTACGTGAAAGTTAGCACTTAATATTTTTGCACCGAATCATAACTTTCAACATAATAGTTTTTGATTAAAGTCTGTGGGGTGTACATTTTGAAGTACATTTTCAAATTACAGATATAGAAAACTTCCATAATGTAAAATGAAGTAAAACATAATCTGAGCTACTTAGTTAAAAGGGGCATATATTGCCAAGTACCTTTGAATACATCGTAAATTATGTAAGTGTAAAAGATTAAATGGAATTGAAATTCGATGTTGAAAGTTTTTTTTCACGAAATAAATTCCAAAGCAAAATGAGTAAATTTGGGAGATTGTGAAGAGGAAACATGTTTTTTTTTTCAAATACTTACCAAATACCATTGCTCTTTGAAGAATGGATCGGGAAAAAAGAGTGGTTCACCAACTTGTCGATATTGAATGCGGGAATTGGGAGCGATGCTACGGAGCAATCCAAATTTCTGATAATTGTAAAAATTGTTCGTATAATCACGCTTCTTGCGCACTTTCTCATGTTGCTGTTGAAACCAATGAACCTGTAAAAAGCCAAATTATTCATTTATACATTCAATTTTGACATGTATGCATGTAAAAAAGTTTATATAGACACTGTGTATGTGGATGCAAATGTAAATTTTATAGAATTTTCAGCTAAAAAATTCATTTCGATAAAAGCTATAAATTGAAAATGTCATGAAGTATTTTTTTTTTCGCTCTGTTGAGTGTGCGCCTCGAAACAAAAGTGTCTGAAACATGTTCATTGAAAATTAAAGCATTTTAAAACTTTATGTGTGCATGTTGTAGACGAAGAGTTGCAAATGCTTTTAACATCGATTCATTTGAGCATGATGCTTATCGGTTGAGGTTTTTATTCATTTTCTTCTTCGGCTTGTGTTGTTCGCTCAATTACTCTGTCTGATTTCCCAAAGCGCACGCCATTCGTATTTGGGAATTTCATGAGTGTGACTTTATAGCAAAATAAACAACAAATCACGAACTTTTCTTTTGTTCACGACTCGAAAACTCGGTAAACTGTCGTGGGTGGTAGCAAATCACCGCAGTCACAATTCACAATACCGATTCATAATTATGCACATTGATAAGAATTCCCTCGAAATTTGTAAAACAAATTATATATATATATTTTTTTGCTTTTTCGATTTTAAAATTATTCAATTCAAATGAATGTTAAATATATTCAAACTTCAGATGAATTGGTTTGAAATGCCATTGACGAAAAGTATTTGTTGGATTTTTTTCCATTATCATAAATGATGACGATAATTTGTTTGATTATGCGCAGCAAACACAAATGATGTGATTTTTCTATTTAAAAGCAACAAATTCAAAATACAAACACAATTAAAAAGCATCATCATGTTAACATAGATCCGTCTTGATTGTTCGACAACCGACAATTTCACCATTGAATTCAACATTTCTATAGCAAACAGAGTACACTTATCCATTTAAATATCTGCTGTGATTTCAAATTAAAAATACTAAAACGAGCCAGCATTTCTGTTTTTTGGCGAGATTGTTTTGCGTCTATATGTGCGATGTGGCGTGAGGAACGCATAAAAATTGCTAGACTGAATCCATTGTTGTGGTAAAATGAGACGTTCTCTAAATGAGGGATAGCAAAAACACAGCCTATTAATTTGTGAATGTGTGCGTGTGTGTTTTCCTTTGGGAGTGAGCCCATGAGGTAAAACTGTCGACATTTTTGAATGTGTGAGCGTTCTTGTTTTTCTTTGTATTAGTTATAATGCGTGCTTTAAATTTATGACAACAATTGAAGTCACAGCGAAAAAAAAAAAGAAAATGAATTACGTATTTGGTAATTTAGCATCATGACAAGAGGCTGCTTGATGATGATGACGACGACGATAGCGAAGTTGAAGAATAAAATGCCTCATTCAAATTGCTAGACAAATAATATGTGCGTTATTTATGTTTTCCTTTGAATACATTTCACATTCTTCCTCTCTTGTTCCATCTCGATTTTCTTCTCTTTCCCTCCCGACTTGCGATCAAAATTGCTCGCTTCGCTATGAAGAGCAATCAATTGAAATCATGGTATTGTTCGTGAAACTCAAAACCGAAATTAAGTATACTTCGCCACCAGTTGCTGCTATTATGCACACACGCGCTAAATTCACACAGGAATTCAAAGAGAAATCAGGAGATTTTCGTTTCTTTTAACTTTTAAAATTAAATGTCGTTGTGAATTCGTGTGCGACAGAAACGCTCTGAAGCTCTTTAACTTTAACTCTCAAGATGTTTCACAATATTCATTAAAATCAACAATGATTTCTCGTTCTCTCTTTTTTTTTTGTACAAATCCACACAACCGCAAACATTTCCTTCCGTTTTTCTTTTGGCTTTCATTGCAAATCGCGCGGCATAAGTGGCGTTTCGCATTTGATAAAACGCACAACTGGCAGAAGTTTTACGCCTCAATAGACAAAGTACCGCATTTGTTTCTCTTTAATCGAAGGAAGTGAAACTTGAAGTTCATGTTAAACCCCATTGCGTACGTATATCCAATTTCCCGTTTGTGGCATTTGAAAGTATGTCATTTGAAATCTCAACATGTTTTCAATTTCATATTACAGCTTTGCTGTCAAACGAATCGAAACCAGCACTGCACTTTCACTGAATCAACTTAATCACTTGCAACTCTAGTCCTTGACAAATCGATTCAGACAAAATCATGTATTCAATGTTTTATATTATGGCGTTAAGATCGTTTCCATCTACAATTCAAAAACTTATGTTGCACTTGCCAGGCATCTGTAAATAAATAATTTCCATAAATATTTATGGGTAACTTACCGCCGGTTCTGCGTTCAATGTGCCATGATGTTCTTCGTTATGGGTTAATGAACGTTTCGACACATGACTATGATGAAATAGATAATAGTTCTTCAGGCTGCCAATCTGCAAATTAAAAAAACAAAGTTGAAATTAATTTTTAATCATCATTCATTCCGGAAAAATAAATCAAAATTGGTTTTTGCTTAATCAACATGAGGCAAGACAAGCAAGAAAAATGAACTTTTCCATTTCATTAGTAACATAATTTGATTGGACTATTTCAATTTAATTAAACGGAAATACTTTGGGCTTTTTTTTCTCTCGCATTAATGCAAAACAATGAAAAATGTATTTATATTCGAAATATAAATTCAAGCAAAAAAAGTAGACACAACAAATTTGACAATGTCATTCCACGGTAAAGGCCACACACACAGTTTGGATTAAGGATAAAACTTAATTGTGTTTAATGCCACTTTTTTAATGAGTACTGAATTTTGCAATTTGCTTAAACAAATTGGATTTTTTCATTTTTTTTGCTATCACTCCGCGTCAGTTAATTAGCTCCGCGATATTTTGCACTTCAATACTTTATGACAAGTATAAATAAATTATTATCGATTATTCTGTTCGTGTTCGCGTTTGTATTTAATAAATTATTCAAGCATATTTTCACATATTGTGTATATGTCGTGTAATACATCTTTGATGGATATTTAAACATGCCATTTTTTCATGTTATTCCTCTTAAATACCATGTATGTCCATATTTTTTTGGCCGAGTCTTGTTTTCGTTAATTTTGTTTCGTGCTCAAATGAAATAAATGACCGGAACAAATTGGATTCGACATCAAATATTAATGTTCATCTAAATTATAAGGAGCAAAAATACTGGAGCATCAAATGTTTTGTTAAAATAAAATCATACATTTTTTCAGTCGCTAATGACTGCCTTCTCGTAGAATTAAAGCCCCCGTCAAAATCATCCGTGAACAATCTTTGACCCAATTTCCAACAAAAAGGCAAAAATTGAATAAACATAAACTCTGAAAGAGAAATACAACCAATCTGTATACATTTTTTCATAAAAAGATTAAAACATTCCAATTCTGATGAGTTCGGCATCTTTCATTGTTGTTTCATGATATTTGGAGCATGAAAAAGGCACTTTGTTACAATCTAGAAACGTTGGCAATATTATCATAGATGATACTTTTTCCGTGGCATATAGATTTATTTTGATTTAATTTTATTTATGTTCATTATTCATATAATCGTCAATATAAGCTCTCAACCATTTCTATAAAATATAGTAAATAGCAAAGTATTCATTAGTGTTTTTTACCTATTCATTAAATTGTACACATTTCCATTTCAATCAAGAATATTCATTTCGATATTTTCTTAATTTATTAGTGAATGATTCTTCTGTTTGTTTTCCGTTTCGAAAAACACAATGAATTAGAGATGTAACATTAAATTGAGAAAAGCGTTCTTCTGTAATAATACGGCAAAGATGGGGCAGCTGATAGGATTTGTTTATGACACAGCAAAAAAAATCTCTGGGTAAAATATGATCAGGAAATGAAAATTATGTATCAAAAGCTTTGCTTCACCCTCATTCCACATTCAATTTCAAAGCTGCGCAAGGTGAAAAAATATTTTTACTTGACAACGGAATGGCAACGAGCAATGACAACGATAAAGAATCTTTTTTTTTGGATGTCATTAGTGGCACACTATTCGGCAATCATACGATGAATTCTGATGAAGAAAAACAAATTTCAACAATTTCTTTGAAAGGACACATTTAACTTCACGAAAAAAAAGATTTCTTTTTCAAAAACCCTTCAAAGAGAAATGCTCATCACTTTGAAGGTGTTTCAGACAAAAACTGTAATTTTCTACCAAGAAATGTGTATCTTATAACAACATTTTTCGTTTTTTTATTTAAAATTCATAATTTTTCACGGTATTTTTTTGCTTTGTCATACATCTCTCCTCTTTCTTTCTTTCTTTATCGCTCCCTTTTTTCCTTCTCTTTCGATTCGTATTATGTCTGTATGCATGAATAATGCCATATCACGACCGCTTCAAATGATTTGCAAACTTTTTCCCATTTGCATTTTCATTCAACGATGTTATTAACGCGATGTTTAACTTTCTGCATAACTCAGTTACACTGGCATTTCTTTTGCACAAATAATCAATGCCAACGCGGCCAAGTAATTCTTTATTTTACTGTTGTTACTATTCTTCTATAAAGGCGCATTACATCGAATGGAAAATGAAAACAACACTAAAAACATGAACGATGAATAGAAATCAAGAAAAAAGGTTGTGTATACAAAATTATGAAAAAGAAGCAAATCCAATCAGAAATAAGAGCAGTATCAATATGAAGAGAAACGAAGAAAAAAATTCAAAAAATATTTTCTTTATAAGGAACATAAAAAGTCCATGTTAAGCAATGCGCTTGACATTTTTATTCAAGAATTTTTCTTCTGCTCTCGACTGAATGTGCGGATTTTCATCATTCGTTCATTATGATCTTGTTCGCATCAGCCTATTGAACTTTAGATAGGAAAAAAGCGAAAGATATTTTTGTGAAATGTATTTTTAATTTATGCACGCTCTTTGGCTCTTTCGCTGATGGCCATTCATTCATTGGTGCTTGAATCGAAATCACATGCATTAAATGTGTTTCCATTCAGAATGACATGAAGAAAATCCTTTCGCAGTGAGAGCAAAATGTATATCAAAACAATGTTTTTTGTTCGTTTCGTTTTTCATTCATTCGCTTAATGATCCTTTTTCATTGCTTTCGCAAATAGAACCAATGCTTACGACATGGATATGTGTTTGTTTAGGATTGTTGATTTAAAACTCTTGATGCTAAACAATATTGCATACACTTTTTTATAGAGCAGCACCAATGGAAATATGGTAAAAGGTACGGTAAACAAATGGACAGCTTCTTACTGGTATTAACATCCGTAAATGATGGTTTTGACATTTAATGATTTGTTTTTTCTTTCACTGAATTCATTCCTTACTAGTTTTACAAGATATCTGCTTTCCGAACGTGCTTTTACTACTTTGAAGTGTTATATGCACCGATATTTTTATTTTTTTCTAAAAAATTTGAATGTTTAGTAAAAAATGTATAGAAATATGTATTTTTGGTGTTTGACATTTACTTTTGATGCAGAGTCTTTTGCGCAATTATAAATTCAAATTCTACGCCAACTTCTTTAACAAACATAGTAATAAATTCCACATTTTTTATGGTATGCCGAATAAATTAATTGAGCGCATTACTGACATTTGGTTTATTTTATGAGATGAAAATATGGCCAACTCAAAAGTGAAGGCTTCACTTATAAATAATACACCGTTCTTTTAATTTATAAATGCGAATCTATCATCTATTTTTTGACTTGGAAATGTTTACCAATTTGACTCTCTATAAAAAATGCTTCAACCTAGACATCAAAAGGTGGCAAGTGTGATAAAAAAATGATTTAAATCTAGATAAGAAATAAAACTATTCAAAAACTAAAAATACATAGAAATATCAAGTAGTCAAAACAATCCATTTTCGGTAAATCATTCTATTTTGGCTACAGTTCGGCTGAAGAAATACAGAGGAAAAATGAAAGAATTTTCAATTTCTTATATTCAAAAATAGAGAATATGAAGTCGTTGTTGATGACTGCTTAGAGTATCTTTCAAATAAAACCATTGGCGATTAAAATTTTACGTCAGACTGAGTGAGATAGCGTAAATCCAATTTTTCAATTTAATTTACAATACTCATTCTAATTTGTTTTATTTACACTTTGATATCAACGAATTATACATATCAAAATTTAAATGATAAAAGAACACATTTTCAAAGGTAATCTTTATTTGAGTGAAACTTCTGTTTGAATTCTTACATATTTATAATGTGTACCGCTGATAGATTTTCTGGTGCTGAAAACGGTACTACAATTTATTATCACAGAAGAATACGATAAACGTATATAAACTTTGTCTAATTAACAAAATGCTCATTTCAGGCAGATTCACGAACTCACGAACACAAAAGTATGTTTAGTACATGGACGAAGCAATTTCCAAGGCCAGTAAGTTGATAACGAAATAATGAATTGAAACAATTTCTATCGTGTTGTACGAGGGTTGCTCCATAATTTTTTTTAAAAACATATATAACACAGTTGTTTTTTGTCGAAAATGGTTTTATTGTTTTTCAAAATATTCCCCGAGATGATCGATACACTTTTGCATTCGATGAAACCATTTGTCATAGCATTCGTGCCACTCCGAAACTGATATCTCCAAAACGTGTGTTTTGAACGCTTCAACTGCTTCTTCTGGTGTCGAAAATCGTTGACCACGTAGTTTTTTCTTCACGCTTGGGAACAAAAAAAAGTCATTGGGTGCCAGGTCAGGACTGTACGGTGGATGACCCATCAGTTCGATGTTTTGACCGGTCAAAAATCGAGTAGTTTGAAAAGATGTGTGAGAGCTCGCATTATCGTGATGAAGAATTATTTTGCGACGGTGGTTGTTTTTTCTTATTTCACCAAACACTTCGGGCAAACAAATGGTGGTATACCAATCAGAATTGACGGTCTTACGATCCTCTAGTGGAACGGTTGCCACATGACCACTTCTCCCGAAAAAACAGGCGACCATTCGCTTCGAAGTGCTTCTTGCTCGAACAACTTTCGTTGGGTTATCTTCATTTTGGAAGACCCATACAGTCGACTGCTGTTTCGTTTCGGGCTCATAGGCATATATCCACGATTCGTCACCAGTGACGATTTTATTAACGTCTTTTGAAGCACCACGATTGAATTTCTTGAGCATTTCTTTACACCAACTCACACGAGCCATTTTTTGTTCATCGGTCAATTTATGTGGGATCCAACGAGAGCAAATCTTTTTTACGGCTAAATGTTCATGCAAAATTGTATGTATGCTGTGGGATGAAATGCCCAAAGATGCCTCAATCTCACGGTAGGTCACATGACGATCTTCCATAATCAGTTTTCTGACAGCATCGATGTTTTGTGGCACAACAGCCGATTTTGGACGACCTGTATGAAACTCGTCTTTGAGCGAACTACGACCGCAACGGAATTCTCGGTACCAGTTATAAATTGTCTGAAGGGTTGGTGCTTCATTGCCAAAGGCCAAATGAAGTCGATCGAAACACTGTTGTTGAGATAATTTACTTCGAAAATCGTAGTAAATCATTTTACGAAAATCTTCACGTGTAAAATTCATTTTTTTGTTGAGTCGCAGTTTACCAGTCACTGTAAACAATACAAATAGCGTTCGTACGACAAAAGGTTCAGGGCACGAATACATACCAAAACATCAAACTTTACGAATATGACAATGGTTTACATCGGGCAACACTATAAGTACCATTTTAAAAAAAATTATGGAGCAACCTACGTATTGAAAATGTTGGTTTTTCTTTACTTCAAGAGTTTGGACTTTTCAACTATGTTTTGATTGGCGTTACTGTTTTAACTATGTTTGCACCTTTAGTAGAGACCAATGACAGGATGTGAAGACTTCAAGTCTCATTGAGCCGACGGTGGCGCCACCAATTTCAAAGGGGACGTCAATGTAATTTAACAACTCAAATCGAAACTAAACAGCGCGCCAATTTTGAAATTTGCTGTCATTTCCTCCCATTGGTAAAGACAAGTAGCATGGCTTCCTTGCTTCTGGTTTTGTGTGACATGCATTTGACATTGAGTCAAAAAGGTGCTTTAGGTTTTTGTAAATAAATTGTAGATGTAGAAATTTTGTAAATAAATAAAATGGACTACAACGGAGCATCACGTGAATTTATAGAGGGAACCTATTTATTTTGTTCTCATTTCTGTTTGTCGCTAGACGCCTGAGCTTAGAAAGTCATTAATAACAAAGTCGTTAATAAGAAAATACTACATATTTTTTTAAATTCATTGTTGAAATGCATACATGTTTGAGCTTCAATCGGTACCATCACTGCCTCTAATTGATCTTTGTATCAAACACTTCTACTCGTTTCATTTTGATTTTTTCTTCTTTTCATGATTTTTTTTACAATTTGATATCTAAATTAACTTCGTACCAAATCTCGAACATGCTGTATACACCTAAATCAGCTGTTATTTAAGCGTGCTAGGTAAATGGTTGGCAGGTGTTTTAATTTTATCGCTTATTTTCCTTCTAAGATAAAACAAATAACATTATAATCGAAATTATATTTTTCTCCTATTTTTAAAAAATAATGCCAACAATTTTTATTTTCATTTAGTAGATATAACGTCAATCAAACTCGAAAGTGCGCAAACTCAATTATTATTTTGTTTAATAATTTGAAAATATGATTGTGTCCATGAGGATAAAACCTCAAAAATGCAATGAATCTCTCATTTACCACAATAAAACTCAACGTTTTGTTTTTGCGACTAAACTTTTTTGCGTAAGACAGTTTAGCCAACTTGACAGACTCAATGTGTTTTATATGATAATCTTTGACCACTAAAACTAATAAAGTGTTTATTTTGAAAGGTGATTGCTTCCTATTTTCTGCGAATATGGTTTATTTGATAGCATTAACTACTTTAGTCTATCCGCATGCAATGAACTGAATAAAATGTGAAAAAGCTTTAAATCAAAGCAGCCACCTTGCATTTGGATGTCTTAGTTTCAGTGTTGATACACATAAAAAACAGAAGTAATAGAATTGTTTAAATGTATTGGTTTATTGCAAATTTACCAATAGATGTTAAAATATCTAGCGCAGTTGATACTTGGTCGATCGCGCCAAAACAAGTGTCAGCTTTGCTGTTGTAGTGACGATTGTATGAAAATACAAATAGATATTTTAACAACTATTGGTAAATTTGCAATAAACCAATACATTTAAACAATTCTTCTACTACTGTTTTGTGTCTGTAGGGTATTAGCTGTGCCGTTGTTTGTTCATAATAATTTAATAAGATAAACGTGTATACGAGTTCATTCCACTATAAAAGATTGAATCTTTATGATATGCTCATTTTGCACGTTAATCGGTCTTGAGTAAGGGTTCCTATAGGAATGAGAAGATTTTTTTTTTTAAAGATGTTAACGAAATTTTTTTTTTAAAGTAGTTTCACCGAAGATGGTATAACAAAGTTTTCATTTCTTAAATAATTGATGAATTTTTAAAAAAATAAATTGAACGATTTCAGGTGTAAAAGATGTTGAACACCGATTACCGCCCGATACGCGAAAAGTATCGTATGATATGGATGAAGCCATTTCCAAGACAGGTGTGCCGTATCACAATGAAAAACATATTAATTTTTTGACGTTACAGTTTTTGTTTTAAATTTTTAGGATTTGAGCTGTTCAACTATGTGGTGAATCACTGGTGATTGGCGTTTCTGGTCTAATTATGTTTGCTGCATCAACGTACTCTCAGTGGATTCTTGTGAGTTGAAAAATTGTGGAAATGAGAATAAAACGTATTTTCAAATTATGCGGCAATGTTTCAGGGTATGTGCGGCAGGTGGTAATATTTGGGCGAATTTCACAACAACATTCACAGAAGTCGAGCTATTATGGGTGAATTGTATTTTATTTTTTGTGTTTAATTCATAATTGGAATTTATTTTAAACTTTTAGTTTCTGCTGTGATTCTACCTGTAACTGCATGGGCTGTGATAAATGAAGATCGTTTTTTTAAATTTCATTTTCAATTAAAAGAGCAATGGTCATGTCCATATCGTTAATGTTTGGACGATTGGGAGCTGTTGCTGGCTAAAATTTGGCTGCAGTGCTATTAGATGATCATTGCGAAACAGCGTTTTATCTAGTCGGATCAGTTCTCTTGGGTAATTACTCTACATTCATTGCATTTACCATATTCAATTCGATTTCTTAAAATAATTTTCATTTCACATTTTCATAGCAATGGGTGTGTTATCAAATTTCATTCCAAACATTCATAAAAAAGTGACAAAGTCTGGTGATCAAACAAAGTGCGATGCACGTCCAAGTGTCTTATCATTCAGTGGATCTGGGCGTGGTGTCTAAGATAATCATGTTTGATTATGTTTCATAATGCCAAAAAATAGATGAAAATAGAAAAATGTCGAAACTTTCAATAAATACAGCTTCGCAACAAATCGTATTTATTCATTTTAATATGTATCACGTGAATAAACATTGATGGTAATAAAAGAACATTTCGACACATGGTATGCTACATTGTGATTTGGAACTCTGTATCATTTCCGTGTTTAAATCATTTATGATTGGGCAATAATTTCTCGCATGTATTTCATCATTTGAAAGGTATGAACACAATTTGTATTCAAACTTGTGACAAGCTGCTTGTCGAATGATTCGATCATTTCAAAACGAAAATATCATTAAGTATGTGTATCATAAAACACATACGTATTATTGTGAGATTTTAATTTCTGATGTCATATAAAAAGAGTCTATATGTCTATCGAACTTTATGGCATCATTTCGCTATAAAAGACAGCATTTGGTGCTGTATCCATCGCAGAGTTTAAATTAATAGTCATTTAAGTGGCTCTACCGTAAATTGTCGATCATCGACATAAAAAAATTACTGTCAAAATGTGTCACGCAAATAGTTTCACCGAAGTAGAAAATGGTACTGGTAAGGTTTTTTTTTGCAAAATTAAAATAAGAGCTAATTAATCACAAGTTAACAAAATTTAGGCCGCAGAGATTCAAATAATCAGCCAAACATGGTCGATGATCTACGAACTCGTAAAAGAATCTACGACATGGATGAAGCTCTTTCTAAAACCAGTGAGTGAATATAGTTAAACCTCTCAATGGCAGTCTTTTATATGTATTTGTGACAATTCCAGAATTCGGACTATTCAATTACATTGTGATCTGCGTAACTGGCCTGATTTTGTTTGTATCTTTTTTGGAGACATGTAGTATAAGTTATATACTGCCGGTATTGTGTGACATGGATTTAACAGCTAGTCAAAAAGGTGCTTTAACTGCTGCTCCATTTGTTGGCATAATTTGTTCGTCGCATTTGTGGGGATTTGCAGCCGATACTAAAGGTCGACGTCGAGTTATTCTGCCTTCGTTGTTAACTGCATTTATACTATCCATCATCTGTTCATTTGTTCAAAATTATTATATTTTCACTTTTTTAAGATTTCTCAATGGTTTTTTGTAAGTTAGAATTTGGCACGATGATAATTGTAAATTTTAACTTGTGTGTAATTAATTTTCATGATGTTTTAGTGTGTCTTCGTCAGCTGGTATTTATGCATATTTGGGAGAGTTTCATAACAGCATTCAAAGAAGTCGGGCTATTATGGGTGAGGAATTTGTTTTTCCCCAATGTCTTTACATCTCTATAGTTAGATTTTTTTTTCTTAATTTTCAAAAAAGTGTCTGCTGTAATCTATAGCACTTTGTGTATAACAATGCCGATTACAGCTTGGTCCGTTATCAATCAAGATTGGCAATTTGAAATTCCAATCATTGATCTCACTTATAAGCCATGGCGTTTATTAGTTGTGGTATGTGGTATACCTGGATTTTTGTCTGCGTTGGCATTATTTTTCTTGCCAGAAAGTCCAAAATATGTGTTAAGCCAAGGTAATAAAATGGCAGCATATCAAATATTACAAAAAATGAATCGATGGAATAATGGTAAAAATGCACAACTGGAATTATTTGAAATTCGCGAAGAAGTCGAATCAACCGAAACAAAATCCAATAATATTGACGGTATAAGTCACCTTTCCTTTCTGCAAACAATCTGGAATCAAACATCAGCACTGTTCAAACCACCGTATTTAAAATCAACCATCTTAGTTTGTACAATACAATTTGGAATATTTTCAATTAGCCATGGTTTTTCTTTATTTTTTGCTGAAATTGTAAATAAAATGTCAGCGAATTTGGACAATTTTTACGATCAAAGAATTATGATGTGCGACAATATTAATACGAAGCCAATGAACAGTACAGCGCAAACGGAAGTAAGTAAAAAAAACGTCAGTTAAAACTTCTTCAGTTTTATAAAAGTGCTTTTGTTTTTGACATAGATATGTGTGGAAAAGCTTGATTTATCAACAATAGAAACTGGCCTATCAATAGAAATTATATTTGCAGTCGGAAGTGTCCTAGCCGGTTTGTTAATTAATAAAATCGGCAAGTTCTCAATTATCTGTAAGTTTTGTCACTTTTCTATATTGAACATGACTTTTTGGGGTGGGCATAAAATAATTTTACTTTTGAAATAGTCGTGATTTTAATGTTATCCGGATTTGCTGGAATTGGAGCCATGTTAACCGATATCCCAGCATTGCAAGTTCCTTTATTTGTGTGGCTGTTTTCTTGCTGTATCGCAATAAATGTTGTAGCATCAGCAACATTTGATTTGTATCCAACTAGTTTAAGGTAATGCTTTTTTCAATAATTCATGATTTCAATCAATTTTTTTCTCCTTTTCATATATTTTCTTATGTTTTCTATCAAATTAGAGCAATGGCCATGTCGATCGCATTAATGTTTGGACGTTTAGGCGCTGTTACTGGTACCAATGCGGCTGCTATTTTATTAGAGAATCATTGCGAAACAACGTTTTATCTATCGGGATCAATACTTTTAGGTATTCACAAATTTGTCTCTCTTTTCATCTCTTTTGACATGGAAGCATTTGAAATCAATTCGTTTTAATTTGTTTTAGTGATGGCTGCATTGTCGTTTTTCATTCCAAACATTCACAAGAAAATTAACGAATCTGCCGAACAAAACCCAGTAAAGAGTAATCACCGTCCGAGTGTGCTATCATTCAGTGGATCTTTCAGAGGTGTCTAATTTGACAAAACTCGAAAACAAAGTAATTTAAGAGCAAAATTAAATAAAGCAATATATCTGACACAGTCGTATCAAAGTGATTATTTAATTTCATGGATTAAGTTATTATTTATTGTTGTAATCAAATTGAACAAAAAAAAGTTGAAAATTTTCGTCGAAAAGTCTTAGTCACTTTCAAAATTTGCTTTAAAATCATCAAATCAAATAAAAAGTATGCGTGATTATTCTAACAACGGCGAATAGATGGCATGGATAAATGTAAAAAGAACTGGCGAAAAACAAATGAAAGTAATTAAACAGAATTCAAATAATAGACTGCCTGATACCAGGTAGTTATCTTGACTTGATTAATAACCATTATGATCGGTAGTATATTTGAATGAGTTAGAATAAAAACAAAACTTCACATCACATCGTATCGAATGATGAGGTGTCATGTATCCATGGTATCTAAGCACATGATAACACAATCTCTGTCATTTTTGTTACATTGAATAAAATTCACTCAAACATTTCAACGTACTTGTATACATTCCCATGTTTTTTATTCAAACAGCGCGCAATAAGATTGGTTTTGCGGTTTGATTGATAAATTATTTCAAAAATGTATTTGTTGTAACGAAGTTGTACTTTGAAATGTTGTAATGCAATTCCAATGTTGAAAATGGTACGTAATGACATTTCAAAAAGTGAGTTCAAAAAATTAATTAATTATTTATTTAAAAGGTCACCAAGAAACAGATCTTCGACCAAAACTCTCAGAAAATGTATCAGCGCCATTTCAGTTCATGTTGTAAGCTCGGCTACAGTTGACTTAAATCTAACAAATTTGAGGTAATTCGATAATAATAATGAAATATATTCCTTGCCATTACTGCTAGGTAATTATTTGAAATTTAGCAAATAAAATAAAACAATGGATAATTCGGTAATTTAATCACTCGAACAAGACCAATTCAACCGCCCAAGTGTATTGTCATTCACTGGATAGATGAGAGCTTTTTGATCTGCCATTGTAATATATTTTATATGAAAGCGACAACAAACATATTTTTTATTCGTGATTCACGAATCGTGAAAAACCATGCATATTCACGAATATTGGTCCATTTTGAGTAGTGAACAATAACTTCACTTTCTGTGAATATTCGTGAATAACATCGTTATTCCTGATTATCGTAAATACGCAAAATGGCAGCAAATGGTGCATGTCATTTAGTGGAACGTCATTTGTTAAATCACACAGGTTTACTATAAGAATATTAAGTACACACCTTTGAAGTTCTTCACCCAAATTATTTTTTTTGTTAAAGAAATATAAATTTTTAGTCTGAAAATTGTTTTTATGCAATAATAATAACATGATTATTAATTTTATTTTGTGTTGTGTGTGTGTTTCAAATCGCCGCTGTATACGAGCTGTATAATTACAAAAAACTACGAAAATCACGAATATTTGTAATATTTGTCGCTATATACCAAATTCATACAAAACTGTGTTTATTTGATGTTTTTTGTCAAGTTCCGAGCCCCTAGCAATTATCCATGTGATAGTGTCAATACTAATCGAATTGAAAAGAAATAAAGGTAAAACATAGTATGCAATGTCATTATTCAACTTTAATATAAATGCATTATGTATTTGATAAGGATCAACTTGAACCACTACTAACATATTGTCAATCTCCAACTCCATTGAAATTTTTCGGCAAAACATAAAATAAAATTGCCTACTCTCAGGAGATTTTCATCCGATATAAAAAGAACTTACTATTGAGTGACTGCTATTGACTAACCAATGTATTTCTAATACCTGATAAATCGAAAAATGAATGTCACAAAATCGAGGTATACCAAATATCCATAAAGTTCATTTATCTTTTAAGAAATACCGTCTCTTAAGTGTGTCAAAGTACATAAGTGACTCCTTGTTATCCTTTGAAAATACTACTACTTTTCACATTTGTTGAGAAAATGTTCGAGGTGCGAAAATGATTTTTGTTTTCGTTGATTTTTCTGTCGCTTTCATATCTTCATACATTTGAATAGTTTTTTTAAATGAATAAATGATCAGAGAATTGGGATCTTTTATACATTTTAAAAGGTTTACATTTTGGATATTGTGTGTGGCATCACCGACGTAAACAACACAATAGATTCAAAATATCGTAAAAATGTATTTTAAATTTAAAGATTATTGCGTTTGTTATTGTTTTGAGTTCATTGGTGACCTGAAATGAAAAATTGAATTTTCGTTCATTCACAGCAAATTGTTTTCGATACGTTTCAAGAATAATAAACAATCAGGTGTTGGTGTACTGTGTAGTATTCATGCAGCCATTAAATCTCAAATATTAAATGAGATAACGATTGTTAACAGTCGTATTATGACACCAGGTATTAGTGGTAGCTAAAACGCATTTGATCCACTGTTTTTAACTGATTTATGAATAAGTCTAGTCGTGCTATTTTTACTAACTGGCACATTTCAGTCGATACTGAAATTTTATACGAAAAGATAAGTGAACGAGTTCATTTGAACTATATAAATCAGCCATAGCTAAGAAATCCGGAGCACCGTTTCACAATTTCCGTTTATCGTTTTAAAGTTTGAAATGAAATCAATTTTAATTAAAAAAAGGCGTTGAGATGATTTTTTTTGGGAAAAGATAAAGTCCCAGGAGGTATGTGAACTATATGGGGTATATCACAAGCAGTATCAACATATGATATCCGTATCTTGAAAATAATTATCTGGCATTATGACATTTATATGGTGAAACTCGTCGTGACGTGAATGCCATATGCTTATTAAACACGAAATATTAAGTCACCTTTTTTATCATCGCAAACGGCAATGAAGATAACTTGGATTTACTTCATTGCATTACGTTGTAAATAAAATTAAATGATCGATTTAATAGAAGTGGTTCACGGTAGTCTTTGATTAGCTTTTTTGTTCTTAAAAAAGTAGTACCACAAATGCATCTGGTAAATATTGACTAAAAGATATCTTTACAGTGGCAATCAACATATAAATGAAAGAATCAAACTGAAATGCAAATCGCATTAATCATTCTAATTAAGGAATAACAATCAACAGCCAACATGTATAGTTCAAACTGTTTTCGTGGGAATTTTTTTGATACGATTTCGTATTTTTCTCAGTCCGCTTATAGTTTTGTCCTTTACTTACTGGACAAACATATTTGACATAGATTTTAGATGCCAACAAAACTCCAAACTACGCGGCGCCATTTTTCAAAGTAAACAATAATAAAGGTTTTAATTGCTGTCAAGATGACAATTGAAATGTTAGAAAAACAATATAATAATCTTCTATCAAACAATAAATGTTAACGACTGAGAAACAGCATCACACCTACATATTTCAATTTTTATAAATATTTCATTAGATAGATTATCAAATTATTATCAAATTTTTCATTTCAATTTATCCTTATCGCATCGTATTTATACACGTAACAAACGCAACATTTTCAATTCAGAAGTATCTTCGAGGTAGATAATGTGTTAAATGATCTTAAATCTCGAAATCTATAAAGAAATTCATTTGGATTTTAATATTTAAGAAATATTCTAAAATATTTTATCAATATTCGAATATGTGTCAGCCAAATAATCTTCGTGCAGTGGAAAATGGTACGATAGCTATTTTTTGTTTTGTTTTGAAGAGTCTTTTTCACATTTGAACTTATTTATTCATTTTATTCAAAGGTCGTAGAGACTCAGATATTCGGCCAAAGATGCCAGATGATTTGCCACCCAAAAAGAAGGCCATTTACATGGAAGAAGCCATAACGAAAACTAGTAAGTGCTGCTGGAACATGAGTGAAATATTATAAATTATTGAAGAACTCAACAGTTTAAATGAATGATATTTTTTCGCTTTTTGAATTAGAGTTCGGGCTATTCAATTATTTTCTCATATTTGTGAGCGGTATTATTTTGTATGCGGTCGGTTTGGAAACGTGTGGCATTTTATATGTGATTCCGATTTCACAGTGTGATTTAAATTTGACTTCTTCTGAAAAGGGAATTTTGGGTGCTGCTGCATTTTCGGGTATAATTTGTTCGTCGCATCTATGGGGCTTTTTAGCTGATACAAAAGGACGACGTCGTGTTATTTTACCTGCATTACTATTGGCCGTTGCCATGTCTGTGATCGGATCATTTGTGAAAAATTTCTACATTTTCACTTTATTACGATTTCTCAATGGATTTTTGTAAGTAAAACCGTTTGCATACTTTGAATGTGTCTAATAAAATCTGTTTAATTTGTGCAGCATGTCGTGTGCATCAGGAACAATTTACGCGTATTTGGGTGAATTTCACAATAATTTCCATAGAAGTCAGGCAATAATGGGGGCGGCAGTGATTTTTGGTATATCATGTATGATGATGCCATTAACGGTATGGATCGTAATCGATCAAGATTGGCAATTTGAAATTCCTTTCATTGATCTCACTTACAAACCGTGGCGTTTCCTGCTCATTGTATGCAGTTTACCCGGATTTTTATCGGCGGTAGCATTGTTTTTCTTGCCAGAAAGTCCGAAATTCGTGCTTGGTCAAGGCAATAAAATGGCGGCATATCAAATTTTACAAAAAATGAATCGATGGAACAATGGTAAAAATGCACAACTGGAACTATTTGAAATTCGCGAAGAAATCGAAACAATTGAAAACAGACAACGTGTTTTGGATAATAAAGACAGTCAATTTCCATTGTTAAAAACAATTTGGAGTCAAACAGCACCACTATTTAAATCACCATACTTGAAATCAACCATTTTAATTTGTACAATTCAATTTGGCATTTATTCAACGAGTACCGGATTTTTCATGTTTTTCGCAGAAATTTTAAATAAAATGTCAGCGAATTTGGAGAGTTTTTATGATCAACGAATTTCAATGTGCAATGCAATTAATATGAAATCAACCAATTTAAGTGCAATCGGACAAGATGAATTTAATGATAAAGTATGCTCTGACATCGTTGTATTCACACTTGCTTGATCAATTGATTTATCTCATTTCAGGCGCAGATTTGCAATGATAAACTTGAATTATCCACATTGGAAAATGGAATTGTTTTGGAAATCGCTTTTGGTTTGGGCCATGTGATGGTTAGCTTACTCATTAATAGACTTGGCAAATTTCCAATTATTTGTAAGCATTTCTATTTTGGCCATAGTAAATATTCAATAAAATCACTTAATTTTTGTTTCTCTCGAATCAGTTTTCATATTGACTTCAACTGGATTAAGTGGAATTGGATGCATGTGGACTGATATTCCGGCAATTCAAATTTCTCTGTTTCTTTCACTTTTATCGTGTGGCGTTGCCGCAAATGTTGTTAGTTCAGCAGCTGTTGAACTATATCCAACGACTTTGAGGTGAGATTTAAATCCTTTTTCTTATCATACTACTTTATAAAAAAAAAAAACGTCAAGTTCCACATATAGCAACCGCATCATATCTGTCCTTTCCATTAGATTATGGGATATTTTTCAGTTTTAAATTTCTGCGGCCATATCCATTTGTTTTTATAAAGTTATCAAGCCATTCTTTTGAATAAATGATTTTTTGATACAATGAATTTCATTTTCAATTAATAGGGCAATGGCATTGTCGATTTCATTGATGTTCGCTCGATTCGGAGGTGTTGCTGGTTCAAATGCAGCAGCGTTCCTACTGGATAATTACTGCGAAAGCGCATTTTATCTTTCAGGTTCAGTTGTAACAGGTGGGCTGTTTAGTTTTTGAATATTTTTTTAAAATAGTAAATTAATATGTTTTGCTTCGTTTTTTTCTATATAGCAATGGGTATGCTTGCATTTTTTATTCCAAACATTCATAACAAAATCAAGGAAATCGATCCAGAAGAAACGAAAAACGATCCCCGCCTGAGTATAATATCGTTCAGTGGATCGGTGAAAAGTTTCTAAGATAGACTGAAGAGGATTGAAGAAGTGATTAAACTGAATTGTAAACAAGGCTGAATAAAACGTTAGAATTAGTAAAATCTGATGCAGCAATAAATTCGTTTTTATAGCTGTATACAATTTAGTTTAGTATAAACATAAACTGTATCTGACCAGTGCTATAAGGCTTCAATTTAAGTTACCAATCATCGTAAATCTATTTATTATTATTATTTTTTGTACTGTACATGAATAAACTGTAAAAAAAGTGTTTGTTTTATTTTATTTCAACCTCTAGACCCTATACGAAAGAATAACATTTGCCTGTGATTTCACCATGGAAATATATTATTTTTTTGCTCGTTTATATTCTTCTAAATAAAATCACACATTTTTTTCTGTCAGTCTGAATGAAATTGTGATGAGAGTAAACAAAGCAAATTTTTCTTCTGACATGTTAAAAACTAGATATATTTGCTATGGCATATCATATACGCTCGTTTTGACTCGTTGAAGTTCTTTTCGTTTTTTTTTTTTTGTTATGAAAAAACTGTGAAATTGCATGAAAAGACGTTGAATGAAACCGACTGAGAAATGAGTATGTGAACAAGTGATGGGTATCAAAGGATCACATAAATATATGAAGTCAAGAAAATGCAAGTGGAATCGAGTGCAATAAACTGTGAGTAAAAAAATGTACGGGCAAATGTATGTATACATATGAAAAAGGATTCAATTCATAATGCAAGCATTGCATGGAATATGTCTATTATGTTTGTTGCCTAATCAAAAGCAAACGAAACATAGAAAAGTGCAACCATCATTATGAATGAGTGTGCAAGTGTGTTAGTGTGTGTGCATTTGCACAACAATAGCTCTATGCACAAGTGAAACGAATAAAAAAAGGAAAAATGAAGAGTACAACATGCAAAAAGTTTTTATTGTTTGCAGCACTCGTTCCATTTTCCCAGACATAAAATGCTATGAATGCCATAGAATTACAAGCCATTTCAGAATATGTGCGTTTTGTGTTTGAGTAACATTGCAATTCGTGTTTATGTCAAATGCACATTTTCTTTTCTCTCTTTTTCGCTTTCTTTCGTTTGTTCGCTGGCTCGCTCGCTCCTGTTTCTTTATTATTCACATTTTCGCATTTCTTTTGTTTCGGGCCATGTGTACCATTTTATGCACACAGAGAGAGCTAAAGCGAGCACACGTTATCCATTTTACATTCGCCAGATGAAATGGCAAGAGACAAAGATGCGTTTGTTCTTTTATGTCGGTCGATGATGGTGGATTTGTGTTGTGTGCTCGCCTGAAAAGACATTCTCGATCTCACATTCACATATTGTGTGCGGCGGCTGCGGCAACGGTGGCGGGGTGTTCTTTTGAACAGAGAAGAGCAAAAAAAAAATAGACAAAACAAAATGCGAACCGTTGTTACAAATATTGAGGTTGTGAACATAAATAGACCACGATATGGCATAACCATAAACCAGGCATAAACACAATAAAAAAAATAAGAGAAAAATCTCTAATGAAAATGTAATTTTGTGTGCGCTTAAATGTGTGTGCAAGTGGTTTTATACTTGTGTTGAATTGATTCCAATGCAAACAGTTTATATAGTGGAGATTCAATTATGGTGATATTTAGCTTCAAATTATGGTTACTCTTCATTATTTCAAAATGTAATAGTTGAAAAAAACTCGTAAAAGTTTCATAAGCTCTTCGGCGAAATAAACGAAATGAAAATTTCCATTGATTTTATTGGAATTGGTATTTACATAGCATTTTGCCCACATGTTTGTAAACGGAAAATTCGCGCGGAAAGAACAAAGAGCTTTTTGTACTTATGATGTGTGCTGCATCGTAATCGCGTTATCGTTCGTTTGCATGTGAAAATCAAATTACAGCTGAAAACTGAATTTCGCCGTAATAGTATTTGTGTGTGTTCGATTGTTTGGTAATGTTTCCACATATAAGCCGATATAATTCGTTCACTCTCTGTCTCTTTCTCTTTTCCTAGCATCGAACCAAACACGAAATGAATGCCCAAACTGTGAATTCTCTCACTTCAACGCAAAAAGCATTGCCAAAAATCCAATCAAATCAAATTTCAACAATTTTCTTTCGACAAACAATGAAGAAATACATGAATTGTGTATATTTTACAAAGTCCCTTTATTCTATACTATACTTCAAATTGTTCGCCAATGAGACTAATCCAACTATAGAATTTGTAGCATTTTATATTTACCACCATACGCACAACGTGTGATGATTTCAAATTCCATGCATGTTTTGGGCTCAAAATTACTTTTGCACACTTTTAGTCGAGGATTTACACACTGGACTAAGCATTTTTATTTCATACATTTACAAATTGGTTTTACTATTCGAAAAATGGTTGAATGTGTCTCTTGTTTTTAACGCCAAATTAATAGAAATCGTCGATGCACATGAAATCACAAAGCATAGAATTTCATATGGTTAATTCAAAAGAGTTCAGATGCTCAAAATGTCCGTTGTAATGCTTAAAAACAAAACGTGCACAGGAAGAAAATGTAGCTTCAAAAAACACAAGCAAGCAATCCATCGCGATGCATGTGTTTCTCAGTCGGCTTATACTCCTCATAAATATTAATCGTTTTCTCCAATTTTTATCCTATAAATAATTACCACATACATATTTATTGTTTTGGTCGAATAAACACCACGGAAAAATTGGTTTTTGGTACACAAACACTGGTCGCCGTTCTCCACAGATATCCGCGTATAGGAAGTGCTCGGTATTGTGTGGCTATGGAAGTATGTATTTTTGACAAACGCAGCATATTTTCGAAATTATCCGGATATTGTTTTGTAAGCAATCTCCATTCAGAGAATGAGATTAATTTATGTAAATCGATAAACAAACAGAATCAAATATGATCAAGAGTTCAATTTCTGCCTGAAGCTTGTTGAGTTTTTTTTTGTAAAGCTCAACGAATACTTTTACGGATAATGTACACATATTTTCAAGCAAGCAGAAAATTTCCGATTTATATGGGATGGTTATTGAACAATTTTGATAAGTATCAGAATTGTCCATTTTCGATGGAGTTGTACGACAAAAAGAGGTGTTATTTGTTCAGGGTAACACAATATATACTCAATAAAACTGGCATTGAATTGTTTATTGCAAATTTATTTTTATATAATGCGTAATTTCAGATAAGTCGGTTTTCTTTATCTAGATCATTCCATTGAAATTGACAATATCAAAGCCTTTTGAGTTCAATCTTTCCACGAATTAATTTCACGTAATGCCCCGAATTCCCAAAATTCCGTCTCGATGCATTCACACTCCACTTTGTGTGTGAACTGCATCAAACCATTTAGTTCTCGCTTCATTTTTGACTAATTGATCGACCGATAAAAGTTCTTTTCAATTGAAAAATGGCATATAATTCAGTGAACATTCTCACTTCACAGCTTTACAAATATCTCTCAATTATAATGATTGAATGTGTACATTTCAATGTTTTCGTTGCAAATATGCAGCAGTTTTTTTTTCTTCAAACTTATTTTCAAACATACCATATGTATCCGAATCAAAAAAAAATTCCTATGATATTATCACGTACGTCAATAGTAAACAGTTGATCAGAAATCGATTGCGATTGAATGGGAATCACGATGAGAGAACTTAGAAAAAATGAATACTGTAAATAGCATTGAAAACGAATGGAATTTACTGGATGGAATTTTGCACATTCGCCTGAATTTATGTGAAAATGAAACAGAATAGAAAAAAGAGTCTCCTGCAATATTTTCAACCATATTTTCTTGAAGTGGAAAAATCTAAATATGTAAAAGGTTTCACGCTATACCTTTTCCTCAATCATCAAATAAGACACCGATAAGCAATTTTCAGAACATATTCGACGTTACGAATATCTACTATACGTGCGTCCGTTTGTCGGCCTCATCTCCATCGCTTCAATTCATTTGAGAGCCGACAAAGCAAAAAATAAAATAAAATCAAAGATTTCTTCGTATCATGTAGTCTTATCAAAGCGGCCGAGCGAGATTGCGATGAACACATACATACGTTCAGCCATCCATCCAGCCACTAACACATGAACTGGCAGAAATCAAATCGAAACGAAAATTGCTTATTATTGAGGATTATTTTTATGGAAACGTTTTCGGATTGCAAAACATGGTACAGGGCATTCGTCAAGTGGCGAATTCAAGGCGATTGGCGTACACCACACATGCTCTATGCTGTTTTTGATCTTTGCAATCGAATGGGTTTACTAACATGCAATATTTTGCGCAATAATTCCATTTATTTTTTTTTTTACCTCGATGTGTATGTTGTGAGGGGGGCAAATCGATTACATTAAAGAGATAGAGCGTCGATGGGATGGTAGAATCTATGTGTCGAAAAATACACTTATAATAATATTTAATGTAATCGCTTGAATCGAAATACGATCATTGCTTCACACATTGCTTTACTTCTGTCGGCATCCGTTTTTCTGAATAAGCCGGATTTCTTGGCCATTCTTCTCCATCCAGATCGTCTGCGAGATGCGATTTTATATAAAAGTTGCAGTGATGTTTTGTATTTGTGAACAAACGATGACCATCACAACGAATAAAACAACATTATTTACCAGTTTTACCAGTTTATTGACCGTACCAGTTGGAAAATGGCAATTGGATTCAACGAAAAGCACAATAAACTAACTTTACGTTCATTGGCATTGACGTCGTTTACATGTTACATCATTCGTCAAATAACAAAGTTGCATTTGCATTCATCGATTTCAAAGCAATACCATGATTTTTCGGTTTACTTTCGTTGTTCTACGTATATTTAAAATCAAATCTGATGCGTTGAAGGAGAAGGAAAATGATGTTACAACAATCATTTGATGGCAACTACAACGACAATTTTGATAAAGACTGTTTAGAACATTTATTTAGTTATCTTGTTGACATCAGCAAAATCGATCAATCGAAAAGCCAAGAGTATTAAATAAGTTTTTTTTGTACGGACGAAAATATAATACAAGCACACAATCAAATTTCATGCCCGTGAAATTGTGACTCGATTCATTTTCACTTTTACACAAAAAAAATGTAGACAAGAATATGTGAACACAAACAGCAACAAATTCGCATTCAATGCGATGTGCATTAAAACGTGAGTAAAAGAGGATGCTTATTTGATGCGATTCATTTTGCCATTACATTTGAATAGATTGCAAATTGATGTG